TTCATGCCCGTTATGTCCAGGATCATTATAAAGTAGTAAGCTTCGATTTTAATTGGATTTATAAACAAGTATGCATTTATGTACTAAATTAAAAATTCGATAAAAGTTATAAAAGACTGTAGAGTTATGAATTATACTCCAAATTTTTTATATAACGAAAAGAACATGCCTGTCCAAATACTGCTCAATTTTTATTATAGAGAACTCTTAATATAATAAAGAGTTTGTAGTCATTTGGTTATAGTATTTTCTTGTATTTCTACGCCACTTGTATTTTGCGACAAAATATGAGTTAAAAACGAATGGAAAAGAAAAAAAATTGAATATATAGTAAAAATTGGTAACAGTTTTTTTTATAAAAGGAATTTATTGTGCTTCTATACCAACTCCAACATAATTCGTTATAAAAAGTTACGCTATAAAGATAGTTGACTGTTTACATTGCTTACTGTTAATGTTATAAAATTGGAGAGGGATTATATCCATCACAATTGACCAAAATAAATAATTTAATTTGTGATTGATCACAAACGAGAGTGATTCATTTTTGGATCAGGCACTGTCTCTGTGTTATTGTTGCACTGTATAGATAGATGAGGTCGGGTCATCACGTGACTGCGCCCTCGATTGTTGGTAACGCTGGATTTGCTACATTCGAATCGGCAAATATTCGGTCGGTCAATTTTTGCCAGATTTTCCAGAATTTATGAAAACAGCTGTAATTAATTGGTTTCCATAACCCGGCCGGGTCAAAATTTAAAAGCTTGTAAAAAAATTTTTTTATGTTTTAATAACCGGATGGGTCTTTTAAAAAAATTTTTTACAAAAATTTTATACGAATTTTTTTAAAAAAAGCCGGCCGGGTCTTCATGTTATGAAAACCAAGATATTAAGTCTGTGTGGCCTTATTTAAAAAAACGAAAACCAACCACAATAAAGTAAAAAAAAAAAAAAACATCTAGAAGGTTTCATTAAAGCTGTAGGATTCCATAGTCAAAAATAAGATCTAATTCTCGTCCGTTTAAAAAAATTAGCTTAGTAATAGGTTGATTTTATCGGGTTTTGAGAAGTTATTACTATACTAACTTTTTTAAATGGATCTTATTTTTGGCTATGGAGTCCTAAAGTTCTAATGAAACCTTTTATACTGCATTTTCTATTTCACTATAATTAGTTTTCGTTTTACTCTAAATTGTATCATTAATGTAAAATTAATTTGAATTTATTAGCCAATCAGACAAACTTCTGCCAATGAACCTGATACACATTTTCTGGGAATACTTAATGCGGTTTTTAGCCGCCGGACCTATGATGTAATCCATTTCATCCATTGAGGGGGTCCATTGAGAACTTGGTGAGAAATTGGTAAATACATAAACTACACCATAGAACCATAGATCGTCCTCCTCTACTCTCTGGACAATTAAACAACCAATAAAAATTAATTAAACCATGTGACGTAATTTAACTAATTTACGAAAAGTTGGTCTAACTAGAAGATTTTGCCGATTCGGATCACAATTTGATTTTTAGGGATAAAAGACATCATATATAAAATACATCCTAAAATTAATATGGTTAGCGGTTTTAAAAAAAGATTTAATGACGTTTAATCGATTGAACTTAAAGAACGTTATGCTCACTTGCTCACTTGCTCAATTTCAAGAAAGCCAATAAAAAGCAATTGAGAGTATTTCTGAGCTGGATTTCAACAAACAGAAATGGTACTACGCCAAGGAGACAAATTTTTTAGGGGATCCATAGGAAGGCATTACAACCGAAAACCATGTTTATATTTAGCATTATTCGCCACAGTTTTTCTTCTAGTGATACAGGCTCTAGCGTATTTTGGGCCCCGTGAGGAGACACTAGAGGGTGCGATTAAAGACGTTGATATCATTTTTAATCCACCATCGGACTCTGAGGGGTTTCTCGATTATCCAAATATATATCCCGTTACTGGAGATTCCACCAAACCAACACATTACAAATTACTCGTAGTAATAACTTCTCAGATCGATGAAATTCGGTCGAGAAAATTATTAAGGGAATATTTGTTCGGCATTAAAGATAATATAAGACCATGTATGGAAAAAAATGGGGAAATATATTACAGATTTTTACTGAAGCCTTATCAACAAGCTGATAAGAAAGTATTGAGAGATTTTACTGCGGAAGCTGTGGAATATGATGATATTGAGGAGTTTCCGAATCAATCAAATATCAATTGGCAAAAAACTGTTCTTACTTGGGTACGTGCATACACATGTATTTTGATTCATTTTGATTTGTGGTTCTTATAACTGACTCATATTATTAAAGATCCAATCACTTGAGAAACAAGAAATCACATTCGACTATGCAATAATTATGGAGGACCAATCAATTGTCAACCTTCGTAAACTTCTGACTATTCTGGATTCATCTGTAATCAACACTCAAACCTTGACACCTAGACAAAAATCCAATTTAGTATGGGGTAGTTTCGATATCAATACGAATGACGATATGTTTATAATTCTCGGCCAAGAGTCTATAGTTACCTTACTTGATCTTAATTATTTCATAAAAGTAGAAGAAACTAACAATACGAAACGAAAAAAACAACCTCCTAAGCTCATAACTCAGGCGTATCGCTATTTTATCCAGCCAAACCGTATTGATGAAAGCGATTTATTTTTCATAAATGACAAAGTTGGACTGATTGAATGGCCGAACGCCATCGAGATGGTTCCAAAAGAAACAACAATAGGAGTAGGACACGTTTACTTAGAAAGTGAAAAGAGAAACGTTTTCTCACATTTGTCGATTTCTAAAATCACAGCCTGCTACCCCGTTCCACATAGGAGTGACAAATTATCCATAGCAGTTGTATCAAGCAGTTTCGTGTATGACAACATGTGCATGTTTCCAGTAGCATACATTCTAGCAGAAAATAAACGCGAATATGCTAGGAGACATGGATATTCATTTGTGGGCCGCTCTGAAGAATTTGATCAACAAGCACATTACAAGCACCGACGTACTGTCTGGGGGAAGATTGATTCGATTGAAAAAATTTTACCACACTACGATTGGGTGTTTTGGCTGGATATGGACACTGTCATTGCCAATCAGTCTATTTCTGTTGAATGGTTATTTGAGAAATTTACTGAAATGGTTGGAGGAAAGGATAGTTTTAGCAAGATTCATTTAGTGGTTGCCAGACCTAAACAGGACGCTACTATAAATGCAGGAGTTTTCATGATTAGGAATTCAAACTGGAGTCGAAATTTTTTAAGGGCAACACAAGCACGAAAGGATCTTTACCATAACAGACAGATGGAGCAACGTGCGATGTGGGAACTCTTGATTAGTCCGGATTATAAAGATGGGGTGAGTTAAAAAAATTACCAACAATTCTGCATCTGCCGATTAATTTTAGTCATATATTAAATATGTGAGCTACATTATAGTAGTTTTAACATGTTCATTATAATTTGATTAAACTTGTAATTTCGAACTTGGTCAAAATGACTAAATAATTTAATCATGCATCATTATTATTATTATTTTTTTTTATCATAATCACTAATTCTTTTATTATTTATTTACAGACACTTCTCCTTGATAAAGATGATCATACTTTCAATACATTCCCACATATATACGTTCCAGGTGATTTTGTAGTTCACTGGGCACCGGATGATTGTCCCGTAAAACCCATTTTGGATGCGATTGGAAAGTTTAGACAATATGAAATGGATAGAGAATTCAAGTTCACACTTAAACATGCCCCTGACCACTAATATTAAATGGGTCATAAGCCAGTGGTTGATGACCTAAAAATAACGGAAATTATAAACATTTACTAGCGTTGTTGATTTAATTTAAAGAATTTATTTTTTATCATCCTTTTTTTCGCAAAATAATCCATCTTGTAACAATTATTTGTTTATAAATAAAAAAATAAAAACAAAAAACGAAAACAAAACATAAATCATCAAATGTTCAGATTTTGATTTATTATTAATCTACAAATTACAAATAAATGATGTATTTAATCTACAATGAACTAAAAGTATATTTCAAACTACAAATTTTACATTTTCATGTATTATACCGGATATGCTCATGCAATTCTATACCATTATTAGTACGGCACTTAAAATAGCAAGACTGTTGGTTTACATATTAACTAATAAATTTCAAACACAACAATTCTACGCTACAAGTCATTATAACAATAATAATCATTTACTAGGGCAGATCACATCGTCCTGTGCGAGCGCACCACAAAGGTTGTAATGGAATTGCATTTACACCCCTCTCTACCATTCTAAATCTCCAGTCAGTTAATCGTGCTAATGCACCTTTATCAGGAGTTCTAAGTTTTTTAGAAGTATCATAAGGACCTGACCACAATACTTCAGCAGCAGCAGATGAACGTGGCCACAAGAGAATTTCCAAGTTTGTCGGATCAGCTTGTTCTGACCATAATAGAACCTCACCTAAGTTTTCGAAAAGATTAGATAAAATGTTGGATAAATTATACTCGGCTTTCAATAAAAAAAAAAAAATAAATTATTTTTACCTCCTATGATTAATTTAGCTTCTTTATCGGTTAATCCATCAATTGGATTGTAAGAATAAATCTTTTGCCAAGTTTTATATGGATCACACCTATATAGGAAATTATCAACATTATGGATCTATTGCATGAGGCTTTGCCTACATTTTCACAAATGTTAAACCCATAAAAATAAATTATTGAACATACCAACTAGTGCCATTAACGTTATTTCCAAGCCATCCACCATGCCCACAGTCTAAATACCAAAAATCACTGCTCCCTGTAATGACACTATATCCTCTATCCACAACTTTTTTAACTACATCTTTACTAGTCCACACTTGAACCAAAGTATCATTTTTCAACGTCAGATTATGATCAACGATCATTTCTTGCCACGTTATCGGTAATTTTCCTGACTTACGAACAATATTGTGAGTTTCATTGATGAATTTAGAGAGAAGCGTGTCGATGGATGAATTCGGATGCTGATTTAGGTATTCAGTGATTGATGGAGTGGTATTCCAACATTGTAGGTTTACTTCGTCTCCACCAGCATGATAATATTTGTCATTGAAGTAAGAAATTAGTTCAGGAAGAAGTTTATTAAGGAAGCTATAAGTTTTGTTCAATGCAGGATTTAATTGGCCAGACGGTGGTTCGGCAGAGAACTAAAATAATAAATAAAGTTGTTAGAATAACCTAGATTTAGTCAGCTCAATGGAATATTAACTAAAAAAAAAAGTAAAACATAAATCATAAAAAGCATGATTACCTTAGTCCAATTTGGTTGTACATCTATACATGTCATTCTGTTTAGAAATATCAAATGTTAATTTAATCACATTAAATTAGTGCTCAGGAATATGTGATTCAATGAATATCATACATTTCCGGCATGCTTTCTGCGATGGAATGGGTATGACCTGGCATGTCAAATTCCGGAATAATCCTAATTCCTCTCTTAATTCAATAAAGTAAATAGAGTTAGAGACAAATATTCAATCTTATAAACATAATTATACTCCTTCTATGTTTAATTTAGTTTAACAATATAGACATATCTTTATGGGATAACATACCAAATTTGCATATTCGATAACCTTCTTAATATCATCTTTAGTATAAACCATATGTTTTGGATCATAAGATCCTTTTTCACTCAACGCTGGATATACTTCACTAACTACCGGCCAACTAGTAGCATCAACGATATGCCAATGAAACACATTAAACTTATTCCAGCTCATAACATCTAATGTCTTAAAAATGTCTTTTATAGGATAATAATTTCTTGCAGTGTCCAATAATAGACCTCGATGAGAAAACCGAGGAAAATCTTTTATATTGTGTGGAGCGAAAGGCAATAAGAACTTAGAGTTTTTATAATAGAGAAGTTGAGAAAATGTGTTGAAGCCATGAAGAATACCAAATATGGTTTTAGCTTCAAGATGAGCTGTTATTGGATCATTGTCAATTTGTGATTCAGGAATTGTAAGTTCATATGATTCATCAACACCTAATTCTAATTCTGAAGTATCAGTAGCAATTGAAATAGTCAGAACAGATAGCGTGTTTGATTTATCTGGATCGATAAAATGAACATTTGGAGAAATATATTGTTCTGATTTTAGGAACTTTAGGAGGCGCTCTTTAGCAGATTCAAGAATTTTTTTTGTTTGACCATTAAGTAAGGAATCAGTTTTAAGAGTTTGTTTTAGAGAAAAATCTGAAGAGATTGAAAGGGTTGTTGAACCTTTATTCCAGTATTGAGGAAGAGGCCAAAGCGCATTTACACTTGATATGATATAAAACGAAAATACGATAAATTCTAAAAGTTTTAGGAACATTGTTTTATGAATCGATAAAAATCTGACTTCATATGTTAGTGCTGTTAGCCAAAACCTCGTAAATTTATATTTTAAATTTTCAATGTATCGGGACTCGAAAAAAGTTTGGAATTAAAAATCTAAGTTTTTATTTGGTTATATGTAGTGTAACCTACTAAAATGGATCTGCCAGTTATTGTCCGACAATCGCTGCTCTGAGTCAGGGAAATAAAAGTGTCTGAGAATTATAGTGGAAATGACGCATCCATTAGTTTTATGCAATCATTTAACACCACGGGAATGTCTTCTATACACGGTCAAAGGGATATATTAAATGAGGGATACCAAATTATTTGTGTACTGTTGAGGTATTTTATATGTAAAAATGTGTACTTGAACATTTTTGAACATTTGGAAAATTTTATTATGATAACTTGTTTTAATATTCTAATTAAAGTTGTAGAACATTAGACGGAATGTATAATAATATATTTTTATAAAAATATTTTAAATAATTAAGGCTAAAATTAATATTTCAGATCTTGGACATTTTCAAAAAAGCTTTGGATAGTCAAAATGTACATCACTGCGAACAGATTTTGTATAGATCGGCATCACGTGTGTACGTGCGTTTTTCTGATCGAAATATGTATGTTTCTTCGAATTTATAATATCATAATTATTATTCATGATATCAATATCAGTGAGGATATTCTAAAACATCTTAAAAAAACATTTTAAAGTCATCCGGGATGTATGAAAATATTGTCACCAATTGTAAGATCCGATGTAACAAAGACGAAAAAAAATCGAATATTTTCAAAAATCGTCGGTAACTAGTAATTTTATTTATGAAACCACCTTTTGTGCCTTAATAAAAAAAAATTTCTTGCAAAATTTTAGTGGTATCTATATTTTATTTTGCCTTAATACCACAACTAATAATATGTTTTATAGTTTTAATATGTTTTTTTGTCGTATTTTTGTTTTTTCTTGTCAGTGCAGAATTTTGTAATCAATTTCGTCCAATCAAGAAAAGTATTTCCAAGCATCAAATAGGAGTTAATGGAGAAAATTAGTTCTAAGGTTACGTTGGTCGTTTTTCGCAAAACTTAGTGTTCCGTAAACGGGTGCCTAAATTGGGTTTTTAACATTCCGTTATCAAGCAATTGGATAATAATTGAGTCACATTCTATCATACCCAATTGTTGACAGCCAATTCGAGTATCAGTATGTTAGGTAAATTAATTATTAATAAATATTATATACTGTATATAGTAAATATGATTTATACGATAGATTTTACATTTTATGCATAAATCTGTACTATTGATATTTATATATGCACATACCTCTTTGATTAATTAGTGTATATATAGTGCATCGGAATGGGATTATTATGGTTTAGAATCCACTTAGGTTGATTTTGAATAAACATGGGTACCGTGGTAAGTTACCAGTCATTATCGGAAATGTTCGTGATTGTAATTAATAAAACACGGCAACTTCAGAATAAAATATAGGTTAATATCATGGTAACTTACCGGCAACTTATCATTTTGGTAACTTACCATCAAAATTTATATAGATTAGAGTTCTAAATCATATTCAAGTTGCTAAAGAACTCAAAATAAGGTTTGTTCATTCATAACGATAGCAGCACATCACAAATTAATTGAAGCATTACATAACTTTTTTACATTTATGGTTACTAGTGTAACAACTACTACCACAAAGCAAAATTCTTTTTTTTTTATACTTACAATAATTTTTATTTTTGCAATTATATTTAAGGTTATTTATTTGTGGAGGATGCACAGTAGAAGCTTTCAAATGCTAACGCCTATAGGCATTAAAGGAATACTATCTAATTCTGAAAACTTGGCAGAACCCAACGAACGCAAATAGTAGTCAAATTTAGTAAATCATAGGGTTCGCTGGTGTTTCAGGATCGTGTATAGCAAATGTATTTTTGCCAATAACGCTCTTTTACATTTCCATTATTGTATTTGCCAGATCTCGTAAAACTTTAATACAGAAATCGCGAGCCTTTAAGATTTACGTTGTCGATTAGCCGATTTGCTGTTAAGGTATTTGGACCCAAATGATGTAATATACTCTAACTATTGTTACGTCAATCAATTACATATTTATTACAGTTCAGTATCAAATTTAAGTTGCTTTTAGATTCAGTATCAACTTGGGAATTCCGGGAACGGTGAATACTTCCACTCCATTTTATTCCGATATCAATTAACAAATCAAAACTTGCATCTAGTCACTAATGCAAGTTTTGATTGGCCAATTGATATCGGAATAAAAGTATTCAGTCCCTGTTTCAACCCAAGGATATTCTAAATCTAAAATAGTTTACTCCGACGTATGACATATATATAGACTACTTCAAGTATTTGTGCATTTATCTATTGGTCAGTTAACCGGTTCTATATGACTGGTCTGAAGCATAACGAGGGACATTTCTACTTCAAATATGCATATATATTCAAAAATGACATGACAGATTCATACATCTTTCTCAATCTGAGACCCAATCGAATTATTAAAATCGTGTATTACTGATATTGCTTCGGATATTTATCTGATTCTGTAGAAAATAAAATGTGTGCAGCAAGGAAAAACCTAAAATTTCTCTTTATCGGACCTTCGAAAATTTGTAATATAATACTGATATTATGTAATTTGATCTGTGTTCTAGTCACAAATATGTACGTATGTATGTTTTAAATATTAACGAGAAAGGACCTTAGTTATTGCAAATTTTTCTCTTGGCAACGTTTTGATTATAAAGGGGTACACTACATAGATAAAGTTTGCTTGGTTGGCTAATTGAATTAAATTGCCAGTAGGCTTGGGCTAATATACTAGCTGAAATTCCAAAAATAATTTAGATGAGTTTCGACGATTTTTATTAAGCGATTACTTATATTTTGACGAATTAATTTTGATTACAATGTGCAGATAAATTTCGACCATATACTTCGATGATTTTTACCATATTTTCGCGAAATAACTGCCATGTGCGTCATTTTAAATAAAGACCAAATTAAGCTAAAAATTGAAATTGCACTATTATACGCCATTTTACGAATATAGATGAGAAGTTTTATAGTTTTAGAAATGTATGTTTTTGTATAAAATATATTGAACATACTATGGGAAAAGTTTGTCTAATTAATATTATTATAAATTTTTATATTCATATAATATTCATTTATTGAAAAAAATTAATCTAAACTAGAGGGTTTGGATTGTTTATTTTTAAATAACTATTTTTGATTTACTAAAAATATACATAAAATATATAATTTTAATTAACTTTAAATAGTATCTAGATATAACTAGTCAAATAGAAACTATTTAAAGTTTGAAGAAATTTATTTGCAAAATATAGTTCTATTGCTTTGATCTGAACATTCCGGTTAATCAATCAAAATCCAGAATTTGCATATATATATACAGACATTCTATTTATTAGTAATTATTAAATAAAAATTCTATTTTATTTTAGTAATTTTGTATTTTTATTATAATAACTAATAGGGTTTGGGTTTTGTAACTTAGTAATTAAGATTTTAGGTTCTTACAAATAAGGTTAACAGTTTAAAATAGGTTGAAAGCAAAAACTAGATTTGTTTTTGTAATCTTAAAAGATTATATAAAGTTTTGTAAAACAAGTCTAAGTGCATGTACAAATTTAAATTAAAAAAATTCTTGAAAAGTAACCTAATTGTAAAATATAAGTGTTATATATAATATTACAAAAGTTTTAATTATATAAAAATTGTATATATGAAAATGGTGATTCTAGTGTAGTAGTTGGGTTGTCATTCTTCAAGTGGCAGATCTAAGGTTCAAATCCCACCTATGACAAAATTTGAAAATTATATCTGTGTTATAGTAACTGTTTCCTGTCAATTGGTTGGCTTCATGTAGCTGTAACTCAGGTATACCAAGTTGGGTTCTATTAACATTGGAAGCTCAGGGCATCTATATGAAGTGTAATATTACATGTACATAGAGAAATATATAATCAGTATTGCATAAAACTTCAGTACAAGAGGATGGTGATCCTAGTGTAGTGGTTGGGTTGTCATCCTCCAAGTGGCAGGTCTAAGGTTCAAATCCCACCTACGATAAAATTTGGCAATTAACCTGTGTTATGGCAAACTGTCTCTTGATGATCAGTTGGATTTGTGTATCTGTAACCTTAAGTCACACCATCTCAAATGGGAGCTCGGGGCATCTATGCCAAGTGTAACGTTACATGTACATAGAGGAATGTTAATAACCAGTGTCGCATAAGACTTCAGTGCAAACCTACAATAAGACCACTGGGTGCAGTAAACTAAAGAACTAAAGAGTCAGAAGCCTACTTAAAAATTCCCGAGTAAAGAGGTAGCATGAACTTTTAATGATATAGTCAAACTGATAGAAGCTCATAAAACACTCTCAAAGGGATAGGCAGATAAACCGAATGTCAAGATGTGTAGAGAAGCACATGACCAACCAGGCTACCGGAATCACTAAAGGAAAAGGATACATAAGTATACCATACTGGGCTATCTGAATTGGAAGTCAGGGGAGTTTTGTTAGTCCTAAGTAGCAGTTAGTAAGGGATGATGGAGAAGACGTCACGATGATAGGTACTGGGGTTCTAGTGAACTTTACAAGGGTAGAAATAGTATAATGTAGCGGTTAAACAGGTAACCCCTGTGACTGCAAGTGTTAGGTAACTATAGCATGTTGCATAAAACTAGGTCT